GTATGTGTAGCTGTGTGAGTGTGTGTCTGTGTGTGTGTGTGAGAGAGTGTGTGTGTGTGTGTACCTGTGAGGGAACGGTACGGCGTTGATCTCGGTGTTGAAGGCGGCGTCGGGGGTCACTCTCTCGTCCGTGCCGTTGATGCTCTCTGGAGTCACAGGAGACTGAAGGTCACCCATCGCTGATTCCTGTCACACGATCAACACAAACACACCTGATTCAGATCAGAAACACACACGTCTGGCTTCCTCTTGAAACAGAACATCATGTTCTCAAACACAGTTCAGGTGCAGAGCTCGATCTCAGCAACAGAACCTCAAGCAGATCTGCAGATCAAACCTAACATAAAATAACCTCATTCTGTTCAGAAGCAGCACAAAATCAGCTGATTGTCAAGACACACTTAAACCTATTTCACAATTTCAATAATATAATGTTTTGCTTTGCATTTAGTGTTAATCCTGTCAGCTGTGTTTTAATTTAGTCTCAGTTCTGTCAGATGACTGTTAGTTTTTATCCTATTCTATCAAACTCTCCTGTTTTTTGTTTAGTCAAGTTTCAGTTGACTGAAAGTCTAGTTTTAGTCAGTTAAAACATAGTTAGTCATTCTGCATAATAATAGTTAAACGTTTGCTCATGATTATGATGTTTTGATCATGATTTGATCAGAATTATTGCACTTTTACTGATAAGCACAAATCAAGAGACTGTCAACTGCTTTATTTAACCTCATCTAGTCTCCTGGTTTATTATATTATCATAAATATAAACTCTACATTATGAAAAATGGTTGCCAGGTTGATAAGATAAAGTAAAACACACACAAGGTGTCCTTTTAAGACAGATGCTCTGATTAGGGTCAAACTCTAGACATCTGGCAACCGCAAGCATGTTTTTGCTCTGGTTATTATATTGTACAGCATTTTGGTCAACCTTGGTTTTTTAATTAATAAATAAACATTGACTGATTCTTCATTAAACTACAACTACGTCTTGTTGATGTTTGGAAAAAAGTTTGTCATGTATTATCATGACAGCTTTTTTAATGAAATGAACACTAGTAGCGAGTGAGAACTGATATTTGTCTTATTTAACATTTAATTATTGCAGGTTTGCGTCATATTCTGAGTTTGCATTTGACTGTTTTTATTGATTGTGAGGAACACTGAATGTGTTTGTGTGCAGGTGAGATGAGTAAACACATGTTGATATTTAGTCTAGAACTACAGTAAGATCATGTTCACACACAACACTCTGCACTTACTCCTGATTTCTGTCACCATGGCAACACCAGAGCTGTCACTCAACACATGGAAACAAAGTAACTGGAG